GAGGTCAAGCTCTTGCTGCACACGCAACTAGCTCCAACTCCTCTGTTTTTCCCGACTTCACACCAGAACAACTTCAAGCTCTCTCTCAATTTCTTCATAACCAGTCCAGCAACAAGATCTCTAGTACTGAGAATTCTGATAAGTTGTCCGGTAAGATTAAATTTGGTGATGTTATTTTGGATACGGGTGCCTCGCATCACATGACTGGCACACTATCTCTTCTAACCGATATCGTTCCTTTATCACCAAGTCCGGTTGGTTTTGCTGATGGTAGTAAAGCTTTTGCTGTAAGCATGGGGGTGTTTCCACTCTCCAACAAAGTCAAGTTGACTAATGTTCTCTTTGTGCCTTCTTTGAACTGCACATTGATTTCTGTTTCAAAAATATTGAAACAAACTAAGTGTCTTGCCCTTTTCACTGACACTCTTTGTTATTTACAGGACCGGTTCTCGAAGACTATGATTGGACGCGGTGAGGAGCGTGATGGTGTGTATTTTCTTACGGATGTTGCTACAGCAAAGATACATGTGGCAAAAGTTGTTCCTGACCAAGCTTTATGGCATCGGCGTTTAGGACATCCAAGTTTTACAGTGCTCTCGGCTTTACCTTGGTTTTCTAGTTCATCTTCTTCCATTAGTTCTCCGTCTTGTGACATATGCTTTCAAGCTAAACAAACACGAGCTGTTTTTCCCGATAGTATTAATAAAACCACAAGTTGTTTTTCAATGATTCATTGTGATGTTTGGGGTCCGTATCGGGTACCTTCCTCTTGTGGAGCCGTTTATTTTCTAACAATTGTTGATGACTATTCAAGAGCTGTATGGACCTATCTTTTACTTGAGAAATCTGAGGTGCGAGGGGTTCTTACAAATTTCTTGCAGTACACGGAAAAACAGTTCGGCAAATCTGTCAAGATAATTCGAAGTGATAACGGGACGGAATTCATGTGTCTCTCCTCTCATTTTCGTTCTGTTGGTATCATTCATCAAACATCATGTGTCGCTACTCCTCAACAAAATGGATGTGTAGAACGGAAGCATCGTCATATTCTTAATGTTGCTCGGGCATTGTTATTTCAGGCTAGTTTGCCTATCAAGTTTTGGGGAGAAGCTATCCTTACTGCTGCATATTTGATCAACCGAACTCCATCTTCAGTTCATTCTGGTCGCACTCCTTATGAAATTCTTCACGATCGTAAACCGGATTATGAGCAGCTTCGAGTATTTGGTGCTGCCTGTTATGTCCACCGTCTCACTCGTGATAAAGATAAATTTGGACAGCGAAGTCGTTTGTGTGTTTTTGTCGGTTATCCATTTGGAAAAAAAGGCTGGAAAGTGTTTGATTTGGAACGTGATGAATTTTTAGTGTCTCGGGATGTTGTCTTTCAAGAGGATGTGTTTCCTTATTCAACATCTTCTACCTCTCCGACAGTTACCCCTTCACCCGTGCTTGTCCATGACGGTGACTGGTTGCTTCCATCTTCTCAAGC